AGCAGCCCGTCGCAGTCCAGCCGCAGCCGCAGCTACAGCAGCTACAGCCGCAGCAGGAGCCACAACCGGAGCTACAACCGGAGCCACAGCAGGAGCCGGAGCCGGAGCTGGAGTCGAAGCCGCAGTCAGAGCCGGAGCTGGAGCCGCAGCAGGAGTCGCTCCCGCAGTCACCACAGTTACTACACCCGCAGCAGCTACGATAGCCCCGGCTTCTGAGCGCAACAGACAGCATAGAAGGGAAACACAAACAAACAGAGGAGCAGTCCTGTTGAATTTACCGTGCTCCGGTTCAGTCATGATGTATCTTTAACAAGCCCTCAACAGCGCCTGCACTGCTGTACAGTCCAGGGCCCTCGACCCTAGACATAATCCCTCTCCAACACAGAGCCTGGATCAAAGAGGAGGGATGTATTTTCATATAGCACATTATTATGAAATTGGCTGTCACTGTTCATGTCCTCACATATACAAGGTATTAAAGGAAATGGGTTACCACATGTCAAAAATTAATTTGGTAGAGCCCAAAGAACAAATCTTGCTGTATGTTAGCACTTTCTGTCTCTTCTTCCACAAAGCAACCAAAAATGAATTCATTACAAACTATATACTATAAATATATATATATAAATATATCCTAACAATAGGAGCTGAGTATAAGACAAAAAGAGGACACATCAGCTCATCGGCTTACTGTACATTTCAGAAAATCTCACTTTTTTCTCCCCCCTCATCATGTACTCATCCCCCCCCACTTCCATTTCACCGAAGCACAGAGATCAACAAAAGTGAGAACAAAAGAGACTTTGGCGGATGAAACAGGAAATGAAAGAGAAAAGGGACTTTTTTTATGATGAAAATTGTATTGTATAGGTTTGTCTGTATAGATGTAAACTCTCTTAAGTTCTGGCTTTGTAAACTATGCACTGTATATTCCATCTAGTTTGAAGAGGCTTGTTTAGCATGATGCATCGGGAGAGACTTGCTGCTCGATGGACAGTACCTGGCTGGAATGAAAGGTGCCAGGGTGCATCCGTTCTCCCCTCTGACATATCCAGTATGTCAGCCACCTGCATACAGAGGTGAAAGGGACTGGGGGGACAAAAACTATGTATTATGTACTTTTACTCTCTTCCCTGTTTAAATGATTATGTTGATTCTGCTAATGTGTGTGTGCGTGTGCCTGCGTGCGTGTGTGTACCTCCTCTGCAATGACCAGTGAGGTAATTATTTGTGTGTGTACCACTGTAGCCTGCAGCTCAGGCTGCTGTGTGGTATTGTACAGGAAAACTGTCTGCAAAAAGTCTCCATGCACACTTTTTGTGTTAACTACAGCTATTTATAATTCTAATTGTATTTATCAGTTTATTTATTGGGCTATTTATTATTTTATTTATTTATCATTCTGCCATGAGCTGTAAAGCAGTTGGATCATGCTTCAATGATGAGATTGCTGCAAATGTATTCCCATTTGTAAATGAACTGTACATGTTTTACACGGGTTTCTTATTGTTGCGAAGGATGACTATCGCTATCAGATGAGCGAGCGGGGTGAAGATCCATTGCTGTGTGTTTCAGATGCTCTGATTTTAGCCAGTGGAACCGAGTCTTCGCCCACAGTTACTCCCACGACTGCCATTATGGCGTCCCCTGCCTATTGTAACGGTTCATTTTAATGTCAGCCATTGTGGCTCTGCTTGTATTGAGAAGCGAGGGATCAGCCTCAAACAGAAGCAGCACATCTCCCTGCGATTAGAGGGAGTCCATTATTCTACACAGCCACCACATACTCTAATCCCTTGTATAATGGCCGCACCATGTTTCTGTACCGTACAGCTACGGTAGTACGGTAAACAAACTGGCGATACAATCAGGGATCACTTTAAGTCTTCCTTACCATTCGTCCAGTCTCATGTCACTCGCACAGTGTTGCATTCCCAGTGTAACCCAACTATGATACTCTGCAAACCTGTTAATTTATTCCAAGTATAGCATTGCCCCTTTGGTTCTACAAGTCATTCTTTGTAGTGTACGAATTATTATACCTGACAATAAACAGAAACAAATGGGGAAATGATCATACTCTCTCTTTGTCTTTCTAACTTCAGTTGAGGTGATATGATATCGTGTAGGCGTTGTGCATACATTTCCCTACAGATGGCACCAAGGAGAACCTTCCAGTACCTGATTATACTGACTTAAAACTTGAAACCTCAGGAAAATGTGCTAGAATGTTCTCCAGGTCTGCCAAACTATTGCAACCTCCGGTCAAACCAGGACAAAGGGGAGGATGGGGTCTATTTCAGGGACTGTGCTGATACAGTATCTACACAATACATTTCTGCTGTCAGATACTGTAACGATATGGGGTTATATGTGTTTAAAAAACCCTAGAATAAATAAAGAAAATAAAATTGGGAGTAAATTTGAAATAAGAAAATGACCTCAAAAGCAAAACCTACATTAGAACTATACCATTTGATCCTCCACTTTCATTTCACTGATCAGGTTTGACTCTTTCTTCCTCCCTCTCTCTCTCTCTCCTCTCTTTCTCTACCATTGATACAGACAGCTAGTTATTGTGCTAATAGGGTGTGAAAATGGTCCCTAGAAGTGAAAAGTGTAATTTCCTTTTCTACCACAAAAGTATAAAAGAAAACAGGCCTCTGTACAGTTAATTGAACTCCTTTTCGCTCACAATGAGAGGGGTAACTGGACGGATATAAGTTTTATCTTCAGTCATTCGTAACATTAGCAAGGTGTGAGGAAAAAACTAATAGGATCCAATGTTAGTCAGTGATTGTGCTTGTTGGGGCGCCCTGGTAGCCCGCCTGGTAGAGCTGGCGGTCATGTACAGCTGAGTCTCGCTCAGCGGCCACAGGTTCGACCTGTAGCCCTTTGCTGTCATCCCCCCTCTTTCACCCCCCCTTTCCTGTCACTCTTCAGCTGTCACTATCAATAAAAGGCAATAAAAGCCCAAAAGATAAATAAAAAAACCATAAGCTTGTTATATAAGGTAATTGTCTGTCTGTCAAGTTACCACATTGAGCAGTGTTGCGTTCACTTGAACTCCCTCCGGTTCTCCAGCAGAGTTCCAGGGGTTGAAGATGCAACACAAAGCCCTGCATGAGCCTGCTGGAACTCACTGGAGCCTGGATATAGGATTTGGTTTAGGCTCAGGAGTTGATTTAGGCGCACATACTCTAATTCATTACAATCAAACACTGACACACAACACAAGAGAGGTTCATGTTTTCAGTTTCATTCCAGGTGATATATTATATTGCAATCTGACCACATTGTTTAATAGACACATGATTTTGACCAATGGGAATGTAAGCACCCACAAAGCTTTGTGTCAGATGTGTAACTGAAAGCTTGACAGCAAAAATAAAAATACTGTATTCAAATGGGGCTGTCTTACAATTTCTGTGAGGTGATCTTTTGGCTTCAAATAATTTTTATTTACTCTGAATTAACTTTATTATTGAATTAATTTTTTCCCAAAATTTTCTTATATATATATATTATTAGAACAGTACTGCAGTAGGTAACATTTCTAAAAGTAATTTTTTTGTCCTATTTTCTGAAATTCTGACTATGTTCTGACAGTAGTACATGAAACAGATAATCTGTGAAAAAATTAGGTCCCTCAGGCTCCTCCATGGGGTCCTAATGGCATTTGCGAGAATCCACCAGGCCTTAACGAAAACAACCAATCAAAGCTGGGAAAGGTAGAAAGACACTAGGTTGGTGGCTTGAAGATAGTTTATCGTTGAGTCTCATTCCCAGTACCCAAAGTGTTGGTATTTGACGACTTGGGAATCTTTCTTTGCTCTCATTGGTTGTTTACGTCCAGGCCCGGTGGATTCTTGCAAATACCATTAGGATCACTAGGAGGAGCCTGAGGGATCTCATTTTCATACAGATAATCTATCACATGTACTACTGTCAGGATATAGGGAAGGTTTCAGTAAATATGCAAAAAAAAAAAATTATATATCTAAAAGTTGCTTACTGCAGCTTTAAGAGAAGTAACTATTACACTGTAGAAAGCAAAACTGTGGCAACTTTGAGGAGTCTGTGAACCCTCTGATTAATATCATAGCTGGATTCTATAAGCTCAGGGTGACAGGGTGCAATGCAAATCAAAACTAGAACATCTCATTAAAGTGCCAGTGAAAGGTTGGTAGGAACACATCTGTGACACACAATAAAGCCACACACCGTAGCAATAACAGTCTGTCGGGCTGTCAGTAGGTTTGATAAACCGCAGCTTATTAGTTCTCCATTTGTGCCATTAATAATACGAGGTGCTGCAGAAAACGTCACTGTCACTGATCTGATAACAATCAATTGTGAAGCTGAATATTGTGGATTAGACCAAACAGTTTGTCTCCTCGGCGTGTCCTCCTTACTGTCATTATTCAGCAAGTGACCTCAGGATGACTCTTGAAATGTAGTACAGTAATATAACACAATGCTTTTTGACTTTTACGCCTTTAATGGTATGCTTGTTTGTGTGTTCGTGTGTGTGTGTGTGTGTGTGCAATGTTTATTTGCATCCATGTCACAAACTGACATTCCACTGTGTATTTAATATGAGGATGATAACACAGTAGCATGGCACTATCTGTCCTGTACAGTATATCACATCATTGCCTATACAGAGCCATGTTACAAATAGCATGTCGGCCTTATCTAAGTCTGATTTGTATGTGCTCAGCAGGCCCGGTTGACTTCCCAGCAGCCTCCCAGATTCTTCTGGCTCTTTGGGACATGCAGAGAGGGGAGGGTGTGGGTATGTGTGTGAGGGGGGGATTACACACGACAGGAGGGAGGCAGGTTTAACAGAGCACTGGGCAGCTGCTTATGGGGAGGGCCTTCCTGTTGGATTCCATTCGAGTGCTAAGTCTGCCACAAATAGATAGTCTAGTACTTTCCACAAACACGTTGGGGGAGTGATTTGGGGGGGCTTGAGTCAGAAGGGAGGGCTCTGTTGACAGGGGCGGTGTCAGTGTGTATAAAAGTTCACAGCTGAGAGGCAGAGAGCACTTTTGGAAAGCATTTTCAGAGAGGCCAAAGGGCTCTTCGTCTGCAGCAACACTCCTCTGCCGCCTTAAACAGCCATGACAGAGAGACGTATTCCTTTCACCCTGCTCCGCACCCCGAGCTGGGATCCATTCCGTGACTGGCACCAGAACAGCCGCATCTTCGACCAGGCCTTTGGCATGCCTGCCATGCCCGAGGAATTTGCCACATTCCCCAGCACCCACTGGCCAGGCTACCTGCGGCCCCCCATCCTGGCTCCGGACATGGGCCTCATGATGCCCCAGACCCCCATGGTGTACCCAGGCGCCTTGATGGCCCAGCAGGCTCGTGCCCTGTCCCGCCAGGTGAGCAGCGGCATGTCAGAGATCAAGCAGACCCAAGACACCTGGAAGGTGTCCCTGGATGTCAACCATTTCTCACCTGAGGAGCTGGTGGTGAAGACCAAGGACGGTGTAGTGGAGATCACTGGTGAGCACCAATTTCTCCTTCACTGACACACTGTACTGTACTGAGGCAAGGGGAACAGTATTTTCATAACCGCTGAGACTGAGGTAACAGTAATTTCCTGTCAGGAAGACTGGTTGCCTTTGATCAGATTCACTCAATCTAACAACAAAGTAATAACACCTAAAACTTATATACAGGACAGATGCAATGTCAGGTAGAATGTCTCTCTTTAGGTCTGTCTCTTCCCTGTATAAGACAAACTGCTACAGTACTGAACTAAAAGACACAAGATAAAAAGGCAGGAAACCTTTCTGCTGGCTCAAGCAAGGCAGATGCATTGCTGCAGAGTTACATAATATCTTGAGACAATATAGTGATACACTGGAGGGCGGGGGCTTTTGGCTGCACGCCTGCTAGATGCAAAACAACACACAGTTCAACATGTGGGAGCTGACTTTTACAGCAGCTCACAGATGAACCCAGAGCTAGAACTGTTTTATTCACTTTTTGCAGTGAAATCTTTTCATTGTCCGTCTGTGCTTGTGATGGACCAAAGCAAAATGGGTAAACCTGAAGAAATGTGTGTGGAATGGATCACATAATAGCTTAGCTCTCTGAGACCTTCAGCAACCTTTTCTCTGTCTGCCATTTCACAAAGAATCCCACTCTTAGAGTAGGGGTTTAGCCGTGACGCATCCAGTGTGTCTGCTACTTTAAAAGGACTGCTGGATCTTGTCCAGGACCATGGTCCAGGATCTGATTATGAGCAATATCTCCATGCTGAGAGACTGACTTACTGTCAGGAGCACCAAAGATAAACAAAGCATGGGATTGGGTCCAAGTGGAATTTGCCACCTCATGTTTCTCATATGTCATCAAAGAACGGGGATATGTTTAAAGATGATATCATCGGCTTTAGTCCAACCTCTTTATGCAGCAGCCCTCTCCTCAGTCCTTTCCATGAACTGAAGACCCTCCATGTGGTAGCTGAAGAAATGCCTGCTTGGCCCAGCCACACTCAGTGTCGTCCTGTTGAAAAGGGGGACAGCTCCCTGAGGACAACGACCTTCATCAGCCCGTTGTCAAAACAAACATATTCATATTTAAAGCCACAATGAAGGGCAATGTTTCAGTACACAGCCAGGCATCTAATTAGTGCCAGTGAGAGACTGACAGGACTGTTGAGGATCTTCAGTGCCTGGTATGGCTGTTGCTACATGGGTAGGGGCTGTAAAAGATAAAAATACCAGAAGCCAAAGCCTCCACGAACACAATATAGCACAGGGATTGTACTGTTTGTGCGTGTTACTAACACACATACAGTGTAGTATTAGATAAATGTAGTGACTGTTGGGAGATTTAGATGAGAAGAATAACACCAGGAGAAGATTACCTTAACAAAGACAGTGAACCGGGGAAAACAGTCAGCCTGGCTCTCTCCAAAGCTGTAAGTTTTATAGGTGCTGGTAGACGGATGATGTTGCTTTCAGTATCCTTTGTGCCAAGCTAACTGGTTGCTGCTTCGTATTTAGCATACAGACTCAAGAGTGGTATCAATCTTCTCATCTGACTCTCAGCAAGAAAGCAAATGTCGAAGTTTCTCAATAGCAATGACGACCTGGCCAGGAAAGCAGCGGCAGGAGCCAAATCAGCATAGCAGCACAAGTGTAATTACTTAAATGAATCATGGCTGCATTCTATTTAGGTGTACCAGTTCCAGGGTCCTGATAGTGTACATCAATTGCAATGGCTTTTTGTCACATACTTGAACTATGCCATAATTAATGATTGTGCACTTTTACAGCCACGAAAAAAAAATAAAAAGACCCTTTGAACATGAATTGAAAATACTAAAAGAGCAAACTGAAAACAGATAATAATGGTTATAAGGTATAAACATTCACACATGCATTTCAGTGTATATGTGCATGATGTAGACAATATTTGCAACTGTAGGTGATCTCATCTGTTTCACTCATCTATTGCAATGGTTACCTCTACCATTGCTGTGTTCCCCGAACAGCTTTCTTACCATTCATAGACCTTTTTCACAGCAGCCATTTTGACATTAAATAGTAAACACAGGTGATACATTCAGACAGGTTCCATTCCATTCAGGTCAAACAGAGTCAGGGTGCTGCTATTGTGCACATTGGCTCACTGGAAAGGCTCTGCTACACTAGATGGAACGGAACCTTAATATAGTATAGTATTGTTTTCCATTTACTGTGCATTTTACTATTATTATTTACTTCTTGCTGAGTTGGTGCCTCATAATACATTCTTCTAGTTATAACTTCTTCAAGTGAATGTATCTTTCAGATCCGTGCCACATTAAGATAAAATATGTCGTCTGTGTCCTTAGGCAAGCATGAGGAGAGGAAGGATGAGCACGGTTTTGTGTCCAGAACCTTCACCAGGAAATACACGTAAGTAGCTTGATGTTTTAAAGTTCATTAATTATCAAACAATGAGCTTGTAGAATACAATTTTACCACAAGTAGTTTTGTTCTCAAACACCTTTTACAAGTATGCGGCCCAGCTGATGTAAGGAACCTACTGGCCATGTAATATGTCAACAGCTCACTTCAAACCTAACAGAGTTCTTATTAAAAATGGTTTGTTGCGGCTGTTTGATGGCGGCTTTGCAGTGAATTTTCATGGAGGAAATGCATTTCTCTGGCTGCCTTCAGATTCTTGTGATTCTCTTAATGTGGCTTTTCTGCCGTGAGTCTCTTTAGTTTTGGGTTGGTCTGGCCTGTAGAGGGCTGGCTGCTGCTGATAGCTGAATTTCATGCTCTGAAAAGCAGCAGCAGCAGCCTCCACCTCCTGGCGTTCATCCCTCCTCTGTCTGAGTTTTCAGCTTCATAGGGCTCTGCTGCCATCCAGGGGCCACAATATACACTGAAGAGACAAACTGAGCTGGTCTTGGATCTGATTTTAGCCCATCAAGGGTGACTCAGACATTAATGTATTAGACAATCTTTGTTGAAGTAGTAAGGCAATGATGTTTTTTTCCTCAACACTGGAGCTCTTTGGAAATGTTCTGGAGTGGTTTCTTGGACTAATTGTGTTTTACCGCTCCCCTTCCAGCCTCCCCTCCACAGCTAACGTTGAGAAGGTCACCTCCTCCCTGTCTCCTGAAGGCTTGCTGACCGTGGAGGCTCCTTTGATCGTACCGGCCATCCAGTCCTCAGAGACCACAATACCTGTCACCGTGGACAACAAAGGTGGCGTGGTGAAGAAGTAGGAAGAAGAGCAGCAGCAGTGTCCCCCACCCCCCTCACACACACACACACACACACACACATACATACATACATTCAAATAAGCACTTTATTTCTACATGCTCCTAGAAAGGTGAGGAGGCAGTTTATCGCTCTTCCTAAAGCAGGGATTGCCCTTGCTCTTCGTCTCTGGTAATGAGCCAACCCCAGCTGAGTGCACTGTGTAAACACATCTGCACCAGTGCCATATGCCTGCTCTTTCTGCTGTAATTACACTCCTCATCTGAATATAGGAAAGCTCAGCTTAGCCCCACTCACAGCTTTCTTTCTCTCTCTCTCTCTCTCTCTCTCCCTCACACATACACCTTTCTCATTTCTGTTGAGTAAATCCCTTTCGTGCCGCCTCTACAGACACACTAAAGACAACAGTTAAGTAGACTGTAATAGCAGTGATCTTGTAAAGTAAAGAACCGGGGTCCCTGGAGAGCAGGCACACCACCGCTCTGAGTGCAGAACAATGGCTGGTAGCGATCACTGTGGTCCCCCTGGACTGGAATTAGACTGGTTTTATCTGCAGTTGCTGCTTTGGGAACAAACTGTTCAGTCAAACACAGAATAAAGCACGGATAACAAATTGAGTCTCTTCTTTTTTAAAGTTTATTTGCATGCTGGTGACATGACATCAGAGGTCTTCCTTTTTATGGAAGTGGCGTCCTGAAGCAGCCACTGTGAGCGATGTGCATCTCGAAACAGGAAGTTAATAACTGAATGTTAAGCTTCTTAATGTTGTGGTAAAAATGCTCAATTATTCCAAAGATGGTCATCCAAGCAAAAGAGAGCAAGTGAAACATGTCAGCCCCCGTGACTCCATGCAGGCGGCCTACATCACATCCTGTTGCCTTTTTTGTAATTTTACGTTTAAGTATAACGCCCCCATCAGGCTGTCTGATGCCTACACAGTCCTATAATGCACCAGGTTTCATTAAAATAGTAACAACAGTGTCTGAAACATTAAACATTGTGTTGTTTGATCATAACCTCCCCACCAGGGTCTCATAATATTATATAAAATTATGCTTTTATAAATGAATCCTAATCATGTGACCTTCAGCAGACAGGACTCGTGTAGAGGGGATGTAAGGTCATCCTGACACCAACATGGCCCCTGATGTGTGGACTACTGAGCTGGGTCTGTACTTTATGAAGTGGAGAAAAACTGATAAGGCAGTTGGCATAATATGAGACAGGTGTCATATGTAGAGAGAAATGGGGCCATTTCTGCTGTATATGTGCATTGAAATGTGTCATAATGCCTAAAATTGCATAATGCCATCATACAGAATGTCTCTGATGAATTATTCATGCCCACATAGATACATAATTGATGGGGATGTGCTCTCTACTCTTGACTGAACCATTTGGCTTTTGACAGTGTCATTTAAAACAACCAGGGATCAGGCATGGATGGTAGAGGTGCAATGAAATTATTATAGAGTCTGCTGCCAAAAGGTGTGTCTGTGATAGTGTTAGTACAACCACTAATGATTTTATTACTGATTAATCTATTGATACCTCTCAGCCCCGTTATTGGCTTTGTTATATAATCAGTTGTCTGCCGTTCCACCACTGTGGTGCAGTCTGTAATATCTCAGTAACTGTTGGATGGATTGACATAAATGCTTGTACAGACATTCAAGGTCCACAGAGGAAGAATCCTACATACTTTGGTGATCCTCTTGCACCACCATGAGGTTGACATTTGTAGTTTTGTGACATTTGTGTTAACATGCTGATGTTACCATTTAGCTCTAAAGGCCAGTGTGCCTGGTACAGCCTCATAGAGCCGCCAGCATGGCTGCAGACCCTCAGTCTTGTGGATTAATCAATAATATTTCTCTCTAAGATGTAAAAATGTAGTGCTCTTTTGTTTCAACAACAAGCAAAAACCTCAAAGTTAAAGGTGCAGTGTGTAACATTTGTTCATATTCATGATTTGCTCTTATTTTGTTAGGACCCACTGATTTCTGGGATTCACCAATATTTTCTTATTTTTGCTCTTCTCTTAGGTAAGAGAACATTTTACGAGTGGTCGAGAGCACTCTTACCAAGATAAGAACAAAACCACCTTGTTTTCACAGTACACAGTGTTTGTCCAATGCAGGGAAACATACATTTTAAATTTGATGAGCATAAAAAATGCATGAATATAATATAAAAGATTGTATGTTTTAGAGTAATTATAGTAATTGGATTATTACATTTGAGGGCCAAAAAAATTAAAACTATTGCTCCACTGATCCCTATTCAGCTTTATATGTATCATCAATATATCAACATCTTATTGATATCTTATATTTTACTTATACTCTGTATTGAGCTATTTTAATTCCTTGGTGTGTCTGTTTTTTAATTGATATTTCATATTCTATATATATTATATTCTCTCTATATATATACATATATCATTTAAGATCAAAAGGGATTTATCATTCAGCACATCTGAGTAAGAGCAGATTAGGGTGGTTAAGAACGAGTTGATTTCTCTTATAATTTCTCTTAACAGAAAATGACGAGAAAATATAAAATACATTTAAGAGAATGTTTCTGCATGAGCCCATTCTCTATTATAGCATATCTGCTACAATATATACATACATACATACATACATACATACATACATACATATATATGGATTTTATATGAATTAAGAGTGGCTTTAAGGAAATAGTATGACTGGTTCAGTTATGAATGTACAATATCTGCTATTTTCTACCAGACTAAAGCATGGCTGACACTCCACAGGAACTCTGGTTTTTCTCACAGCTGTCATGCTTAAACAAGAGTTACATAACTCAAAATAGTATGAGCGAGGAGTTCGTATAGGCCCTTTCATTAGATATCCATGTGATTTTATCAGACACTTGAGAAAACAGATCTGGACTTGTGTGCCAATCTAAAATGTGTAAATCCTGCAGTAATGTGTCTAAACACTGTTGTTTCAGCAGTAAATGAAAAACATGTTTATTTGTGTTATCAAAGGGGAGACACTTGAGACCAGTAAAAAAATGTGTCCTGCATGGATTTTTTCATAACATCCTGCTCACTCACTCTCATATAGTTAAGGTGTATATACAGAACATAAAGGTGGACAAACACATGGTCAGGATATAAGTGGAGGAACTAGGCCAGGGACAGCCGCTCAGCAAACCATATCAGCTGAGGGCCCTGTTGCAATCAATACACTGTACAGCTGCACGTATGAAGCTAATCCTACGTGAGTTTTTGTTAATGCTCAGCTCCCTCCAGTTAATCGCAGTCAATGCAGGATAAAATAAAAGATGTGACGACACAACTGGTGACGTTCTGAGTGGCTGGTGGTTTTCATCACTTCTTTTTTCTTCCTCCCTGTCAACTTCCAGTCATTCATGTTGCGTGCCAGCCCACTAATGCACATACTAAGTCTACTCTTGACTCCAAAGCTGCAGGGGAGATCTATTTATAGAGCGCTCTGCTATGCACTGAGCCTCCAGCATGTTGTATAGTTACACAGGGTAGATAGCGGATGTGAACTGGTGCTTTTTCCCCCTATGGTCCCAGACCTGTAGTGACTAATGGGCTGCGTATCAGCCACCATTAGCTTCATCTCAGACATTTCTATATTTGACTGTATAATACGTATAAAAATATAGCGTGTCAGTGTGCGTGGTGAGTGTGTGAGCTTCGGTCAAAACAGATGTGTTTATTAGTGCCTGAAATGGGCCGGTACTCAACGTTACTGAGTACCAACACTTCTGATTCTTGCCCATATGAGTACCCTTACTTCATAGTGGTTACCGCCACTACTACCACCACCGAGGTCCGGACCACAGTATTATTGTGTATCTGTGTAAACACATTGCCAGTTCTTGTTAAAATGGATTAAAATGGTAAAAGATGTATGGTTATGTTCTGTTAAGGGTCAGGGTTGTGCTGAATTAGGGTAGTGGCACCTTTTTTGGTCCAATTCAGGCACTGGTGTTTATACTGAATGTATGCAGTGCTGTATGTATTCAGTATCTGTATGTGCCACGCAGTGAGCTCATGGAAGCCCAGCAGACGCTGCCTTAAGACAAGGCAGCACTCTCTAAACCACTTAGCATTTCAGCTTTTCCTCTTCCATGAGTCACCATTTCCTTCCAGTTTAATGCGAGCCTAAATTATTCATGCCAATCCCCATCAATCCTGCAGCTCTCCAGTCCTTTAACCAGGAAAGTGCCCTCGCGTGGAGGAAGCGCTATTTGCCACCAGGCTGATTGGACTCTTCTCAGACCTCTACATCCCCCTGCACTCAGGCTGACAGGCTGAAGAGGGCCGGCTTTTCCCAAAGAGGCTCTCAAGTGATCTTGAAGTGAAGTGGGGACAGATCATTCATGAGAAAATTCAAAACATGTGGTGAAGTGATGGATAGTGTTTTTGTTGTTTTGTTTTTTAAATAGGCCTTTTTCACAGCAGACATTTAGATTTGTCCTAATAGTAAAAGCCCAGGTGTTACTAATATCATTAACGATGTGACACGCAAATGTTGTAGTCCTTTTACTGCTGAAAGAATATTAAATAAATAGTTGTTAAAGCTGCATTTTGCTATTGTACTACGACCCACACTGTTCTGGCTCTGTTTACATTATGATTTATTGGACTGAAATCATAAAAAAAACCCTGAAGCCACCAGTGCACATCCACTGAGAATGGACTTTACAGTGAAGTAGGAGACATCTTGTGTCTGGCAGGTAAACTTTCAAAATGAACAACATCCTTTAATGTGCAAATTATATGCTTTTTTTGCAGCAGAAACATATCAGACACACATTTTTGTTTCCAAGCAGACTATTTGTATATGTGTCTCAATACATGGCTGGAGGGCATCCTTAATAAAAAACGTCAGAGAGGTCTTTTGACGAAGTTATGCTCTTGGTTGTAAACTAACTTTCTTTAATAATTGAATCGTTATCTTTAATAATTACCACTACATCCCTGATTTGCCCCAGTACGCTGTGTTTATTGATGAGGCCTGCTGATAAGATGCCACTACAGTAGGAATATGGAGCCGAGTCCAGCACTGATAGAAGTGAGACAGCAGTAACAGCTGGGGATCAGGGTAGGGTGGGTTTGGCAGCAATAAATTATTCCCACCAAGATTTATTTCACTGTGGCACAAGCACAACTCAAATCACTCATACTAATTATTGATGTGCATTTGCAAGGCTGTTCACCATACATATTAAACTTTAAATTGTACCAGCTGTAAAAGCTGATTACATATGTAAAGAAAACTGCGATAAAAGCTGCCCTGTAGAGTGAACCTTCATCTTAAATGCCTCCTGTCCCTTTAACGACATTTAATGTTCCAAATCTAACAAGCGCCTTTAAAGCAGACGCTAATGCCGTGACTAACTGGGCCACTCATGAAACATTTACATATCGTTTCTGATCATAAAACATGAGCTAGATCTCCAGAAGCTCCTTCAGCGGGTGAGTGTGGACTGAAGACCTCTGAGCAGTGAGCTGAGGAGAGCAGGTGGTGTGCTGTGTTCTCCTTAGCAACAGCCCAGGATTGGTCGGTAGCAACACCTTAGACTTGGGGGCGTCCAATCATA